GTTCATCAGGGAGCCCAAGGTAGGAACTCAGGGCAGGAACCTGGAAGCAGGAGCTAGAGCACAGACCATGGAGGAACGCTGCTTACTGGCTTGCTCCTTTGGCCCCTGCTCAGCCTGCTTTCTTATGCAACACAGGCCCACCTGCCCAGGGGTGGCACCACCCACAGTGGGCGGAGCCCTCCCACATCATTCAACAATCAAGAAGGCCCCACAGACATGGCCACAGGCCAGTCCAATAGAGGCAATTTCCCGATTGAGGCTCCCTCAACGCAGGTGTGTCAAGTTGACACTAAAGCTATCCAACACAGTCAGCTTTATTAAATAGTGGAATAGAAAAGGGCTGGAGAATGGCTCAGTGGCTAAGAGGACCCTGGTTTGGTTCCCAGCACACACATGCCAGCTAACAACCGTCATTTGTAAACCCAGTTCCAGGGGATCTGATGCCCTCTTCTGGCCTCTGTGGGTAATGCATGTACATGTAGGCAAGACACACACATAAAAGAAAAACAAAATTTTGAAAATGAAATAGAAAAAAACCTAGAAAATAGAATACACTATATTTACATGCATTACTCTTATTTTCTAAATTTCTGCTTTAGTTTTGTTTATGAGTACAAGTTGTTTAAATTCACTCAACCCATTCATCCTTCAAACAACATCAGAATTATCTTTCAAAAAATTCATTCCTGTCCTCAAAATCTTCTTTCTCCTAGTTCTGGTAACAACCAGAACAAAGCCTAAATTCCTTGGTGTCATTCAGGATCCCTTACACAGCTTCTCTTATAAATATTCTACAAAATTTCCTTACTATTTATTTTGTTGTTCAAGCTTAAAGCCAGTTCATTTTGTTTGTGCTCCCACTCCAGCCCTTTCCAATCTACCCTTTGTTTTCTCTCTTCAATTTTACTCAGTCTGCATTAAAATGTATCACTTCAGAGCTTTCCTAACCACTCCATCTAGATCAGCCGCTGTACCTCTCTCTAGCACAGATGAGCTACAACTGAAATTATCTTATAAAAGTGTTTAATATCTGTCTCCCCACCCAGTGTAAGCCCCATGCAGCACCGAACTTGTCTTTCAGTGCTGAATCTTTAGTGTTGAGTTCAGGGTTCATGACATAAGTGGCACTATTGACTAATTACCAAATGGAAGTGTCTCTGAGTTCAACTTGTTCTCCATGTGTTTCGTCTTTTTTGTTTGTTTTTTTTTTTTTTTTTTTTTTTTTTTTTTTTTTTTTGCCATTGCATCTTCTGTTTTCTCCACCTAAGATATACTATTCTCTCTTATCCTCTTGGTGGGCTTCTATTCAGCTTTGCAGATTTCATCTCCTGGATGATAAATTTCCCAGTGCCCTTGGACCAAGTTCATACTTGTTTTCAGTAATGTGACAGTCATTTTTATTCTCTGCAGAGTAGTTGTTTTTCATTGTCTGCTAGATTGTGGGCTTCCTTGGGGCAGGGATGTACCTATTCATGCTTTTTGTCTCTTTAATTCCTAGCATATATTTGGTATGTATGGTTATTCAATAAATATTTGTTGAATGATTGAACAAAAATGAAAGAAAATAGATGATCAAGAAAGATGATGATCTCTGACAGAGCTCCCAGGTTGTAACTAATTATTTTGATTTACAGAAAAGGAAGGGCAGTGTGTACGTATACTTTGTAGAATAATATGCACTTAGAGTGGTGAGTTAAGAAGGGTACAAATAAATACATCTATTCTGCATAAAAATGGTTATTTTAAATGTCAGGTTGGCTTGATATTTTACAATTTGATATAAATGACCAGTTTTCCTTTCCCCATGTTTTTTCAGAGAAGGGCTGTTAGGTAGAGTAGACGGAACCATGTTAAAGAGGAAAAAGCTTAGGTGCCTTTGAGTTCAAGGTACAGCCAGACCCAGAGCAGAATAGTGTGGAATTTGCTCTGTTCTTTGTGGACTCTGATATCATGTTAGAAAACATAGTTAACAACAAACAGGATGGAGGGAACAGACAAAAGTAGCCTTAAAGGTTGTGTATATTTTTTTTCTCCAGATTTACATTTTTTTCTTAATAGAGCTTTTGCTTCTTCACTGTTTTAAATAAACAGCCAACCTAGAAAGGAGTTTATACTTAGGAGTAAATTTAGTTTCCTTCCCAGTCATTTATCTTTTATTTTTTATTTTACTTATTATTTTTATTTTATGTGTGTGAGTGTATTACCTGCATGTATGTGAGTGCATGTATTGTACAATGCCATGGAGGTCAGAAAAGGGCTTCAGATTCCCCTGGAACTGGAGTTAAGGACAGTTTGTAGCCACCATGTGGGTGCTGGGAATCGAACCCTAGTCCTCTGCAAGAGCAGTCAGTGCTCTTAGCCGCTGAGCCATCTCTCCAGCCCTCCCAGTCATTTATCTTTTATTTAAAGGCCCACTCCCTTGCTTTCATATTTCAGTTATAGAGAGTTCTTCAAAGTGGGTTGGGAAGGGGAAACACAAAAGTGAGTTCTTTAAACCCTTTGAAGGATTTCTGAAACATACATATGTTGGAAAATTTGCCTCTCTTCTTTCGTACAGATCAGAAATAAGGAACTTTGATAGAAATTCCTTTTTGGAAAATGCCTTTCCCCTGTGGATCTGGGGCTGGCTTGCTTCTCATAATTTCTAGCTGTCAGGAAATTCTCCAGCGGCACAAGTCCTCCTTTCACATAACCTCCAAGTCACTCAAACAAATAAGCTGAGCTCTGGCTATTGGTAGTTCTGTCCTGAGCCAGGATGGCTGCTCAGGGCATGAGGATGTTCATAGGAAAAAGATAGGGCCTGTGGGAAGATCTAGAAAAGTGGACATGGATGTCCTTCTGTGGATGGGAGCTGGGATTCCCAGTGGATGGGCCTGAGAGGAAAAGCCATGGGAAGGGCATGAACAGTAGCAGCATTTGCTTGGTCAAGGCCCAGACAGGGACTCTCCAACAGACTGAGGGAGGTAGAAGTCCAAAAGATTTCACTGAAACAGCAAATGAGGGATGATTAGGTGAGTAAAGTACTTGGCATGCAAGTCTGAGGACCAGAGTTTGGATCCCAAGAACTTAAGTAAAAGCCAGGCAGGCATCGCAACTACCTGTAATCTCAGCACTCGGGACAGGTCCCCAGGGCACGCTGGTAAACTAAATTAGCTGGAATTGGTAAACTCAGGGTTCAGCAAGAGACCCTTCTTCAATAAATAAAGTGGAGAGTGATAGAAGACACCCAATGTCAACTTTGAGCCACTGCAGGGCCACACAGATGCAAGTATATGCCCACATGCAAACACATACATACATATGTACACACACATACCACATGCAGTAAAAGAATCATCGGTGTTGTTTTACAATTTAATAAAAATTTAATCAGTTAAAACATATAGAAAATTCAAGGAAGCAAAACCACCTCAAAACTACTTTGTGTTAGACATCGTGATTTACTCAGATGGTTGGACCCCCGATCCCGAGTTCCTATGTTGACGTGACACCCTCATTCCCCCAAGATGGGGTCAGAAGTAGGTCATGCTAGGAGTGGGGGACAGGGCCAGGTGTATTCTGTCTAATGCTACTAATCTCACAGATTAAGAAGAAACAACAGGAGAGGACTTGAGGCCACATGTTACCAAGATTTCTAATGGTGGGTTGGAGAGCTGGCACACAGTGAACAGCAGCCATGCGGCTCTGAGTGAGTTACCTGGGATCTGTGTTCTCTGTCTAGTGAATAGCAGTGCGTTTATATGTAATTGTGAGAATGTGACTCGACTTCAAGCATCAACAAGAGAGGGAAGCACATAACAAATTGTCAGTTATGAGGACAGTAAGGATGCCAAGTGATGAGTTTGATGTAAAGCCCTTTATTTGTGCTAATCTCATTTGATTCCCCTAGCGACTGTTTTTATAGAACTGTTTTCATCCTGTTTTTTTAAAGTCATATCTTTCATTTTTTGAGAATTTCATATATGTGTGTTGTATTTGCATCATTTTTATCCCTCCCAGAGCCCCCTCCAACTCTTCTCATGTTCCTCCCACTCCCTCTCAATTTCTTATTCTCTTCTTTGATTATTATTATTACACTTACATCCATTTATAAACATACACACATAATACACTGAGTCCATTTACTTGTGTACATGTGTTTAAGGCTGACCACTTGGGAGTAGATAACTACTAGGCAGCCAGTCCCTGGAGAAAACTGAATCTCCCTCCCTCAGCATCCATTTATTGCCGGTAGCTCATCTTGATGTGGGACCCCGTGACATTCCCTCTTCCCGTGTCAACTGGTTTTGTCATTATGTAGACCTTGTTAGTCTTTCATGCTGTGGAGATTTTAATGGTACAGCTTCCCTATTATGTCTAGAATGTAAAACTAGCAGCGGGTAACTTGTCCCTCTGGCTCTACCTTCTTTCTGTCCCCTCTTCTGCCATGTTCCCTGAGCATTAGGTGTAGAGACTGCATTGTAGAAGTTATCGTTAGGCCTAGGAACCTCACAGTCATGTATTACAGTTAAGATAGTTTAGTAACAAGGAGGCTAACTAATTTGCCCAAGTTCATGTAACTTGACAGCTTTACAAGAAGCTGGTTTTAATCCTAGATTGATTAGGTAGCAAGACTCCTATGAGTTCCTACAGCTCTGCCTTGTAATGTGCAGCTCTTTGTTTGATCCCGTGGCCACTAAAATCTTCCACAGTGTCCTATAGTAGTTCTAAAAACTTCCACTGTGTTCTACAGCAGTTCTAAAAGCGTCTACTGTGTTCATACAGCAGCATGCCTGGACCTTTATGGTGAATTTCCCCACATTCTGAATTTTTTTCTTTTCAGCAAACCTCTTTCCCATTTAATCCCTCCTTCAGTATAGCCTTGCTAGCTTTGAAGGCACACCCCTGGCTGGGCTTGGGCTTACAGGGCCGCCTTTCCCCACCCCTTTCCTCTGCTTCAGTTTCAAGCGTTATTAGATGCCTCTGGTTCACTCTCTTTGCTTTTAGCCCTCTGAGGGGCAAGAACCACCAAGGTTGGGGCCAGAACATTCAGTCCTAGAGGAACAGAGAAGGAGTCCGGGGGAGCAGAGACTCCCTTCCAACCCCTTCTTCACAGGAACTGTTGGCAACCAAAGAAAACCTGCTAGGAAAATGAAGAACTTCTGGTAAGATCACGACTCTGGAAAAAGTGGAAGAAGGCAGGCTAGGGACCCTCTGAACCAGGGGTCTATGTTTTTGCAGTGGTGGTAGAATAAGAGGGAGGTGAGAAACGGAGAGAGCAGAGGGAGAGTCAGAGGAAGAGACAGGAGAGGATATGACAGAGAAGCAAGCTCCAGAGGTAGAAAAGAAAGAGGACACAGTCACAGAAAGAGGCAGAAAACCAAGATGAAAGAAAGCAGAGACAGGACAGTGGGTGCAGAAAATAGACCGTGGGATCCTGGGGAAGTGTGACCAATGATACAACAGGGTTGGCTGGAGCCAGGGATGTGCTTATTGATTGAATTTCTAAGTGAGGTTTCAAGGTGGGGTTGAGTACAGTAGTATGTGTTGGAATTTGGTTGCCTTCATCAATTAAATTGTTAGGTTTAAAAATATGAAAGTAGCTCCCTTCTGGAGGGATTCCCATTTGACTCATTTTCGTTCTCTCTTCTTCAGGAAAATTCCAGTTTTCTTCTTTGTATGCAGTTTCCTGGGACCCTGGGTATCTGCGACTCCTAAGCGTCGCCCAAGTAAGACTCATACTTTCTGGTTTGAAGTATCACTTGTCACCAGAAACAGGCAGGGCTGTGATGAGACAGGGGTGTGGTTGAATGGAGATTGAATATGGTTGCACGGGGTCCTGCATGCCTTCTGCATTCCATCATGCTGTGGAGATTCTTGGGTGGTTGTTTTTTTGTGCTTGGTGCTGAACATGGAAAAGAAGTCCTGACTGGGATCACAATAGGCAGGAGAACTAGGTCTAACTCAGTGCCTCCTTCAGATGGTGACTGTTGAGGAGATACATGGGTGAATGGATGGATTTTCCAAGAACATTTTGGGTCAGGAGAGAGATGAAGAAAATGTTTGATGTACTTTGATGGCTAGGCCAAAGCTTTGTAACTGGAAAATGCTTTTTCTGAAGTCTAGGAAGCCTATTATTAGATGAGTCTCATCAAGGCACCTGGGGTGGACAGTTACAAGGATTCTTCTGTGGTCGAAGATTCCTAAGAACTTCACTTTCTGGGAGCCTCACTGAAATGGCTCAAGGATGGCTCTGTACTCTCACTGGCACTCTAAAATTGATGGTGTTTAAAGAATATTTTCTAGCCCAAACCACTAGAACTTTTCCAAACAGGCCACTGACCCCATGCCATTCAGGACGCTGTGCAGCTCTGGTTCCAAAAGGAACAAATTCCTACCTTCCCCAAACAGGAACATTTTTCCAGCATAAATTATAATATAACTCTGTTCCTTACATCCCTTCTAGGGGAAGTTGAAGGTGACTGAATTATGATCCTGGATCCATTGAGTTAAAGTTAAATATACTACATACAAGCAAGCTTACATAACATATTTTAAGCAATTGCTCAGTATTAATGTCGCTATTATTATTTTATTATTGGTGTGTCTTGTAGTGGATGAAGTAGGATGGTCACTGTTGCTTTTGCAGGATTTCCTGTCAATTCTAATTCTAATGGTGGAAATGAACTTTGTCCCAAGATCAGAATTGGCCAAGATGATTTACCAGGCAAGTAACAATGGACCATATTGAAATCACAAGCTTTCCAAAACTGATATGCTTTATTTGGGAAAGGTATAGAACCAGTCTCATTTTCAACTCTTCACTTTATATTCCCATTCTGTAGGGTTTGACCTGATTTCTCAGTTCCAGCTAGATAGGGCAGCATCTCGAAGAGCTGTCCAGAGAGTGGTGGGATCCACTGCATTACAAGTAGCTTACAAGTTGGGAAGCAATGTAGACTTTAGGATTCCAACCAGGTAAACCTATCAAAAATACTCTATCTATCTTCCTTAAACACACTTAAAAATGTTTATAGCTGTGCAAATTTAGACATTTTTCTTGTTTTATGTTTCTTGGGTCATTTTATTTAAGATGAAGGGTATAGCTCAGTGGTAGAGCACTTACCCAGCATGCATTAGCCACTGCAAAAAAAGAGGGGAATTTATTCATCTATCAATCGTTCATTAGTGCCTGAATACTGCTCTTCATGGTCTTGGTATGTAATTTGCTTTCCATTCCAGGAATAAAAACATCACTGAGACTATTATACATTGATTCAGAACATGTTCTTAGTGCTTGGCTTTCTGTTTTTCTGTAATTCGTCTGGTTTTGACTGAAAGGACCCTCTGTGGAGAGCACCAGAAGTTAAGCATAAATTTAAGTAAGAGCCACAGAGTGGTTAGAAGGCTCACAGTGGTGCTGTTCAAGTGTCCTGGTGCTGAAACAGAGCTACATGCAGTGCTTAGCTCCCAGAAGACACCAACAAACAAAATGGAAGTAATTATAACAGAAACACTGTAGTAATACCAATACATCTTCTACTTTATTTCATTTTCTGGAATTAATCCTTAAATGCTTTAAATTCTTTATAGCTGAGGCTTTTTGGTGTATGTGTATTTAGTGAGTAATGCCATTGTTATGGAAGAGCTATACTGATTTAGGTTTTATATAACCGACATACCTTGTGATTATTATGATTATTATATAGTTTTGAGTTTTTAGTATATATAGTCATTGCACAAACTAATGAATTTCATCGTAGCATTTTCATATATGTATATGTGTACTCTGATAGTGTCCACCTCAATTACTATCTTGTGTATCTACTCCTCTCTCCAATTGATCTCCTTCTCTCGAATTAGTTTTCATTCTACCTTCATGTCACATGTATGTGTATATATATATATATACACACACACATATGTGTATATATATACATTCAATGAATTGCAAACTAAGATTCCTAGGGTAGTGAAAAAATGAAGGCTTCAATGAACATCAAATTGTGTAGGTAAATAATGATTAACTAGAATAATGAAAGAATAGTATAGAACATCTGTTTATAAAATGAGAATGTTTTTCAAGTTAGAAGAATCAGATATACTTTGAAAACTAAAGATAGAAATTCATATTCTGGGCAATATGTATTATACAAGAAATGTGTATGGTGCAGTCTTCTTACACATTTACTAACATTTAATTCAATTTCCTCACAGCCCTCACACTGGGACATTGTATCTGTTGTTGAATGCAGGAGGAAATTGAATCCCAAAAGTTTAATTTATTCACATGTGAAAATTAAAGGGTTGGCCCTTGCCAGGAGGACTGAACCCCAGGCAGCATGATTTCAGAAGTTTTTCTAAGCACTACTGCATGCCGAGCCTGGATATCTATCATGTTTGGAAAGAATAAACTCATGGTTCTAGTTTCCTTTCTGTTGCTGTGATAAAACAATGACAAAAAGCAGCTTAGGTGAAGAAAGGGTTTATTTGGCTTTCACTTCCAAGTTACAGTCCACCACTGTGGGAAGTCAGGATGGAACGCAAGCAAAACTTCAAGCGGAAGCCATGGGAGAATCCTGCATGCTGCCGTACTCACAGGTTCACGCTTGGCTAGCTTTCTCATATAGGCCAGGACCACCTGCCGTGGCAGGTTGGGCCCTCCTGCATCAATTAACAATAATGTCAAGCCCCCACAGATTTGCCTACAGGTCAATCCAGTCTGGGTAATCTCTCAATTGAGACTCCTTTCTCAGGTGACTCCAGGCTATGTTAAGTGGACAGTTAACAGCCAACTAGGGTAGGCGTGACAGCAGCTGCAGCCACTTCATTTACTTATTTGTTCATTTATTTATTTGGTTTTATGTTATTATTTATTTATGTTATTATGGTTTTATTTATTTATTTATTTATTTATTTATTTGTTTTTTTGTTTGTTTGAGTGTTTTACCTGCATATATAAAAGTACACTTGTATTGTGGTGAGTGCCCATGGAGGCAAAAGCTGAACGACAAAGAAGGTGAAGATTGGAGTTGTTACTAGGGAGCAGGTAATTTTGGTTTATAAAAGACTTTTGTCTGTTCTGAGATGGTGGAAACAAAACAAACAGTAGGGTCTAGAGTGTAGCACATGCCTTTAATTCCAGCACTAGGAGGCAGAGTCAGGAGGATCTCTGTGAGATCAAGACCAGCCTGGTCTATATAGCAAGATCGAGGTCAGCTGGGGCTACAGGAAGACCCTGTCTCAACCAACCAACCAACAACAACAACAACAAACAACAGCAACAAAATCCCATTAGTAGGATCTTCATGGGAGAAAAAAATTATGCTACATAATGTAATGTGAGATAGTTATAATTTATACTTATTTATATTTATAATTATTTATTGAACAATTATGAACCAAAAAGTTTTGCTTCCTTTCATTATTTATTTTGGGAAAATAGTAGTGTCATATTCTCATCTCCCATTTATAAATATGTTAATCTTTTTTTCCTAAGCAACATAGACCTTACCTTCCTTTGTATTAAGTTATAAAAATGCTTCAAGGTCCAAAGACTTTTGAATCTTTTATTCAAACCTTTATGGTTCTGCATTTAAGGTACTTTGTGAAGATTGTAATATAATAAACAAATCTTTTATAGACAGTTTCTTTTGAATTATGTATGTTGCCAGGTTTACTTATTGATAGACATAGCATATTTGCAAGAACAGGATCTCAGGTGTTTCAAAATACATTGGGCTGATTGCTCTATAAATTAGGTTTGTGAGACATTTAATAGTCAGGTATACACAAATATATATATGTATATATAGTTTATTCATATGAGCCATAAAATGAATTTCTTCTCTTATCCTATTGACATACTATACTAACCTAGTCTGAAAGATAATTAACATGATAGTCATAATTATATTTGTACACATATATGTATTATCTTCATATGTATGGAGAGACACACAGGTACCCATGGTGTAACAGTATATACATGAGATATTCTGTGAGTATTCTAAGTGAGTATATTTATAAATGAAGAACCTTATTTTTTTTGAGACTAGTCTGGATTTGACACAGTTATGAAAAATACGAAGTCAAAAGAAGTGTGACAAACCAATTGAGAAAAATAATATAATAAAAAACCCCAAATATCTAGCCAGGCATGGTGGTACATGCTTGAATTACAGCACACAGGAGGCAGAGACAGATGGAGCTTTTTGAGTTTGAGGCCAGCCTGGACTATATTAATGAGTTCCAGGTCATCCGTCAGTTGCATCATGAGACCCCCCATCTCAAAACAAAAAGAAAAAAAAAACAAAACAAAAAACACCCCAAACAATTACAGATATCTGGAGTGATGTAGTTTGCTCTATTTTAGGAAAAGAATAATTTATATAGTTCTTATTTTTTCTTCTTTAGTCTAAACTGAATTTTTAAAAAAGGATGTGTTAAAAACTTCTGTGTACTTTATATATATACATATCCTGTAGTTCAGTTCACTAGTTATTATATAGATGAAATCAGAATCCTCTGAGATATTTCTTTTTACCTTTCTCCACTTTTTTTATTATTTTCATGTATATACATGTATTGCCTACATGTATGTAAGTGCACCCATGTCGTGCAATGCCCATGGAAATCAGAAGAGGGCGGTGGATCCCCTAGAACTGGAGTTATGGACAGTTGTTAGCTGCCATATGGGTGCTGGGATTTGAACCCTGGTCTTCTGCAAGAACGTCCAGTGTTCTTAACTGCTGAGCCATCTCTCCAGCTCCTCTCTTCACTTTTTGTAAGAAGGGAGATGCACAACATAATTTTTATCTGAAGGAAGATTGTTTGGAATTCTGGGTCTTAGCATACAATCATTTTCAGAAATGCTAAATTTTCTTATTTAACAAATAAGTTTTATTTAGTTTCCTTAGATTCCTTTCTTGTTGAAGAATTTTCTAATGTTTAGAAGAAAATAGAAAGATAAGATTTTCAAGTCCTTGAAGCTGATGTTGGCATTTAAGATCCCCAAGCTGTAAAGTTTTGTGTTCAGAACTTGCTTGAGTAGATCTGGGTAGTGATCTGTGGATTATGGTCTTCATACAGACTAGAGGTACCTCAGAGACGCTACTGGTTCTATGCTGCCATTTAAAATACTTAATGATGTTGGTAGATTGAGGAATGATGATGGTGCAGTAGAGAAGAATTAGTCATCCATTGCTTGTCCCGCGTCCAGTGGTAAGCAATCAGCTGCTACTTAAGCATCATGCTTTGAACTCTCTGGAAAAGACAAACATCCTTGGTGTGAAGAAGTTTTAAGTGAATTCTGTGTAGTTATAATTCTCAAAATGTTTTTGTGGGCCTGCGTTATAATTGTGGAGAATACTTAAGCAATTATGAAAATTACAAATAATTTTAATATGTGTAGTAATAAAAAGTTAAAAACTACTTTAATTAAATGATTTTTTTTTTTTATAAACCAGTAGAGATAATTTGGACTCTAAATGATCTCTTCTCTTACTTTTGAAGGATATGTTGCCAGAACTTTGCAAAGATGTGTTTTTTTGGCTGGGATGGAATTGCTGAACAGCAGTTCTTTGGGTCACATAAATAGCACCATTGTTAGAAACCTTCATCAGAGGTTTGTAAAACATGTATTTAAGGTGGAACATTAATGTACATGAATGATTGGACTTCTGTGAAGTCTTTATGAGATGTCATCAAAGAACAAACACTGCATAGTTTTCCACACTGTAGCTTTTCTGCAGGTCTAGAATTTAAATAACATGAAAATGGAAAATGGTAAATATGTATGAGTACAGGAAACAAGGTTTATATTTATTATTTTCACATTTTACTCAGGCATTTGTATCCCAGTGGACTGCCTGAAGAATATTCCTTTTTAACTACTTTTCGGATGACTGGAAGCACACTTGAAAAGAACTGGAACATTTGGCAGATCCAGGATTCCTCAGGGAGGGAGCAAGTTGGCGTGAAGATAAATGGCCAAGCCAAGTCTGTTGTATTTTCATACAAGGGACTGGATGGAAGCCTCCAAACGGCAGTCTTTTCAAACTTGCCTTCCTTGTTTGACTCCCAGTGGCATAAACTTATGATTGGTGTGGAAAGGAGCAGTGCTACTCTTTTCATTGATTGCAACAGGATCGAATCCTTACCCATAAAGCCAAGAGGCCAGGTTGATGTGGATGGCTTTGCTGTGCTGGGAAAACTTGCAGATAATCCTCAAGTTTCTGTTCCAGTAAGTATGAATTCACAAAGTACGATCACAATTGTAGTTGAAAACAAACCCAATTGACTAAAACTCATCACCTTAGACATTTTTAATCATTAGCTGAATGTCTAACACAATGAGTGGTTATTCACTTTTAGAAGTTCTTTCAATCTATCACTTATTCAAAAAGCCTTTCTGTCAGTTAGGAGGATAGTCTGTGGCATACAGAATGTGGAGTTTTAGTTACTCAGATAATCTTAAAGGAGGTTCAAGTTTACTTGGAAGATATTATACATTCACCTGGAGCTCCCAGAAGCTTTTTGAGACACTGCTATTATATATATATATTATGTATAAACCTATATAACTAATGGGAATATTCAAAGTTAGTCAGATAGTCTGTGATTCTTGGAAGCAATGAATTTTGAAAAGGAAAGATTTGCATTGGCTAAAGAAAGGAGACAGTGCATTCCAGGAGAGGGAAGGACAATTAAGGGATAAAGAATTCAAGAATAAATAGGTCACATTCAAAAGTCTAAAGAATTGCTGTTTTTGGTAATATGTATGTATTAAGCTGAGTGGTTGGGTTAGGTGGGTGAGTGATATTAAGTGCCAAGCCATGAGAAGTAAAGTTAGGAAGTCATCTGGTGCCTGATCAACAAGAATAAAAACTCTATAGTGTGATCTATATTTATTTAGAACTAGGTCTGTGTGACAGTATAGAAGTAAAAAATTAAAAAAAAAACTTTGTGTTTAGTTATGTGTGTTATGTGCACTAGTGCAGTGCCCTTGGGGGCCAAGAGAGGGGTATCAGATCACCTGAGACTGGAGTTACAGTCAGCTGCCTGATTATGGGTTCTGGGAACTGAACTCAGGTCCTCCGCAAGAGTGGTATGTGCTCTTAACTGTCGAGCCATTCCCAGCCTGAAGAAAAGAATTTTAAAAAATATTTTTATTTGTTATTTTTATTTTATGTGTATGAGTGTATTGCCTGCATGTATGTGAGTGCATCCATGTTGTGCAATGCTGCAGAGGCCAGAAGAGGGCTTTGGATTCCCCTGGAACTGGAGTTAAGTACAGTTCATAGCTGCCATGTGGGTGCTGGGAATTGAACCCAGGTCCTCTGCAAGAGCAGTCAGTGCTCTTAACCGCTGAGCCATCTCTCCAGCCCCCAGAAAAGAATTTTACCACAGAAATCAAAGGCATGGAAATTCAGAATTATCATAATGATACCATAATTGTACCAACCCATTTAGGGTTATCATTTTGAGTTGTACTTTCAGTGAGCAGTAATCCTTTAAAAGAATATTTTATAATATTGTGAAAGGAATTAAAAATATATGATCTTAGAGAGGATGCATTATTTTGGGGAAACAGAAGAATATAGAGTTCAATATAAATAAACCATTGATGCTAATCTTCCTCTTATGCTGTTTGGGCCTATTAAATTCTAGTCACAAAACCAATGTCGAAGAGACCAGTAAGGGTGATACAATGGTTTTGAATTGTTTCTGTGCACTTTTCTAGGGGGGAAAAGGTTATCATGGATCTCAGTGATGGGATTGTTCAAATAACTTGTTTTCAAGGGAAGAATTATGATTAGTGTGAAAGACAGTGTGAAATTTCTATATTCTGTGATGGACAGGAAGCAATTTGTAACTGCCACGTTACTGCTCTGACTTGTAGACTCTTGAGAAAATATTTCTTCATTTAATGAGTCATCACACCTCAAGTGGCTGGGTTAGAAAGCCGATGTGACCACTGCTGTGCATGTTGAAATTTTGTGCAGCAGAATCTTCACAATGATGTGGAGTGGCTTTTAGGTAATACGGAAATTCTATATCTCTGTCATTTCTGGACCTGGGCAAGGGAGAAGAGGATTTGGGTACTTCCTCAAGTTGATGTGCATTAGCCAAGTGTTTAAAAATTGGTTCATTGACTTTAAAAAACTTCAAGTTTTCAAAATATACTTCTGCATTCTGAGTGCCATTAAATTGTTTGATTTCCAGAGTGGCAAAGTCTCAATATTACTTTATTATGCTGTATATGCCAACAGTATCATAGCTGGCTATAGATTTTCTGATAGATCTAGGTTCATCTCATGTCACAGAGAAGTTTGTGCTCATTATTTGTATTTTATTTAGGCATATGTAGGAATGCAGCTAAGAACCTAGCATCTGGTTTTATGATGTGTTTCTGGTACACCAAGGAGCTTTTCTAAGTCATTATGGTCACCAATGTTGAACAGGAATTCACTATTTTTTCCCTTCAGATTGAATTCTGAACTCTTGTCTCCTTCCTGAAAAGAAAAAAGAAAACATAAAGCTTCATTAAAGTTCAGTATCAGAAAATGATGATGGTAGTAACAATAATAATTAAATTATATGAAAATTATAGGCCCCCCCTAAATCCTGCCTACATTCATGGACTGCAAGTGACAACATCAAACTCATACTTTTCACTAATGTAGTTTTCCTCTCATCATTCTCCCTCCTCCTCCTCCTCCTTTTCCCTTCCTCCTCCTCCTCCTCCTCCTCCTCCTCCTCTTCCTCCTCCTGCTTTTCTGCTTTGGAAAAAAGTCTAAAAGAGTTTAAAAATCATCTTAGTAGCCTTAATACACCAATTTGAAGTTTTCCAAATCCTTTCCTTCTAACCTTTGATCTTTACAACAATTTTGAAAAATAACAAGTGCAGATAGGGTCATCTCCACTTCTTGGATAAATACACCAAGCAGGCTCACTGGCTTGGAAGAAACAGTTTTAGTTATACCATTCATATAAGCTACCTTGTTTTCCTTAATTCCAACTAGCTTTTCTTTGGGAAAAAGAACAGCACACATCTTTCCTTTCCTTATAAAATATCTCATCATTTGTACTTTGCACAGATTCTTCAGAATTTTTTTCAGCACAAGCAAAATAAATGTTAAAAAATACTAAGATTGTGAAGCGTATATCATGCCCTCAATAATTAATTCTGTTTGTTTATTCTTTTAGCAAACTTTCATTAAGTGCTTATATGCTAAGTGTACAAAGTCAAGTGAATCACAGATGTAGTCTCCTCAGGCTTTGCAGGGGGAGGTGTTGATGTAGGCAAACCATGGCAGTGAAATACATGGTGACAGGATAGTGAAATATGTTGTGTGCATGCTGTGGAAGCAACTGAGAAAGATCCTCAGTCAGGTCAGTGTAGACATGTAGGAGAGGCCAGGCCAATGATGCTTCCTAAAGGAGATGATATCTAAGAAGGATCTGGGAGATGATAAGGCCTGGTATTATAGATAGATCGATTCTCATTTGGACATTCTTGCATGTATCGATTCATCCTTTCCCAAACTGTTTTCAGATTTCTTATACGGCTCCTCTCTGTTTAAAATTAAGGTTGTCAAGTATACGTCTACAAGGTCCAAGCGTCCACTAGTTGCCTTAGGTCCTTGTTTTTACCTTGCAGCCTATAGTCTTTGACTTTTCATCAATTTTGTTAAAATCTGAAGTTGCTTGGGATTACTGAAGACTCGTAATGACAAAGGAGGATGGCTAGTGATATTTCTATATCTTGAGAGGCAAAACACCTATACCAATAGGCCACCTTTCTTTCACTTCAAAGACATCAACTAGTCAGTGTCACTTTGTGAGAACAATCACATTACAAAAGAACATGAAACAACTTGAAATCAGAAAGGCATGCGTGCTTTTCAGTTTTTTCTTAATGCAATTGGATTCATTCTCATCTTCAACACTCTCTATTGATTATTTGTTTCAGGGTCAACACTAGCTTTTCTTCAGTAAATAAATCAAAAGCAAAGTGTCCTCTCCACAGGTATTATTAGCTGTCAAAGGCGGCAGTAAGAACTGCATAATAAAAATGCAGCCACAGCACTTGATGGATCACTAAAGCTAAAAGACTCACTTACATTATAGCTGTTTGTGATTTTCCCCTTTCATCCTATCTTGTGTTCCTTCTCTCATTCTAAATTGGAAAAAGAAACCAATTTCAAGAGGTTTTCATAAGCTGCTCATGTGGCCTATAATTCAAACACATTCTCATCATTTATAGTTATTTAGTGGGCTCAGAGCATTTTATATTTTTTCCCTATGCACTGCTATAAGTTTGTTAGTTTTGATTTTAAAGCAATAAATACCTATTTCCTATTCTCCGTTGTGCCTGTATTTTAGGATGGTGCCATTTATCCCACTGCAAAGCTTGGTTTCCTGGCAGCTTACCATGAAAACATGTTATTTTATGACGGGTTCTTTATTGTTTGTTGTCAGCATGATTGCCTAGGAGAGTTATTTGGTACAGCTCTATTAGAAAACAAAGTTAGCCTTTCTCTCTTTTCAGGGATGTACATTGGGAGTTTGGGCTTGTTTGAAGGAGGATAAAAGTTTATGTGGCTTTACAAATATATAACTCAAGCCACTCTTCTCTTAAACTGTGCATATTCCTAATAAATCAGCACAGAACATGGCAGATTTAATGTTTTTAAAAGTATATCTCAAATGCCTTGTTCTATTTTTTTCATTAGATTCAAAGAAAAATATCAAAGCTGGCAAAACTGTTGATGGAAAAGCTATCTGTCTTTTTCTTTACTCTGTAGAATTGATTCACATTAACCTACAAATGTGAAACAGTAGAAGTTTCATGCACAGTAACCCGAGAAAATATATTTTGAGGTCGTGATTAGCATTATTTCTGGTGTTTGAGAATGCTTCAGAAAGTTGTGTTTTTAGTGATTTAAGGAATATGTAATATATCATGCACAATAGCTAAACTCTTAAGTTTGATAATTAACTTTTTGACATATTTACATTTTTCAAATACTTTTTAACTTGAAGTATCAAGTTAAGGAAAAGAAATGTTACTCTTATCTCTATATATATCCATGGGAAATACTTCTCTAGAACTGATGTGCTTTTTTTTTCTTTCTGTTGCTAGGATTGAACTACTGAGCCACATCTTTAGTCCTTGAATATTGCTTAATGATGATGATCAAAATGTTTTTTTTTCCTTTTGAATCAAACCTAGTATAC